ACCCACACCCACACCCACACAGAAAATGGTTAGGACTCTGACCGATATAACGCCCCTCCAACGATGAAGTGCTTCGGCGGTCGCTCCCGTTGCGGTGCACGGTTAGGTGCCCCTGGCCAGCGTCAGGCCCGGATCGATATGTAACAGATACACAAACACATACAGACACAGACATAGACACACCTGGTTTTTGTTGAGGTCATCGGTCCACAGGATACCCTTGGGACTGTAGGCAATGAAGTCCACTTCCCCGCTGCCGCCGCGGCGGGTGTTGCGAGCTGTGAAGTGCCGCAGCCTCACCTCACCGTAGGGCGGAATAACAACCTGGGGGAAGGTCGGCAGTTCGATCCGGAGGACAGCGACAGCGGCGCTACTGGAGGCCTCAAAAAGCGACGAAGGGCAACAGCCCACAGCCAAGCCGAGTACAACGAGCACAGTAAGAAAGCAAGGCGGCTGCTGAAGATGTTCAATTTCAGAGTTTAAATGGACCGGGTAAGGCTGAAGCTCTTAATTTGGATAAACTTGCTGCATGTCAGTAATGAAGCCGCTGGTGTGATGGGATTCTGTGTAATTGTAACAGTAACGACGATAGAAGCGGTACAGGCAACCCTAAGGGTAAGATCCTTAACGGCCACAGCAGTACGGCGATGACCCTTGAGGATTGTCTGCGTGGGACACCTCCAACAGAAAACAACGGTCAAGGGGAGATAGTGGCTGTTGCAGTACGCTAGTCGTACATACCGTACGGTGTGTCGAAAGGGTTAACCTAAATGCACATCTGTAGTCTGGTTTGGAACGCCTGACTGGGCATAAGAACGCCTCGGTTGCCCATCCCAGCTCCTTCGTTATGCAGGCAAGGCGCGGTTTACACAATCCAAAGGACATGGACTAGGCTACACGCCCATTCCAAGTAGATTGCCGGCGCCACACCTCCTGCATAATCCTTTCCCTTGTCCCCTTGGACGCAATAAGTAGCGGGTCCCTGAGGTCACTCTGCGCACTCCTCCACTTCGTTTAAGAGTGTGCGAGTAGGCCATGCGTACCTTTCGAGCCTGCAATGAAAGAAGTTGTACGAGAGTATGCGTAAATAGCAAAGCCACTGCGAGGAATTTTCTTAAAGGAGCCGTAACCATGCCGGGAACGCTTTCAGGGATATCATGCCTTACCATGAAGTTAAACGAGACGGTGTAATAGAGGGGTTCGTCCAGGGGCCCTGAAATAGTCATATTGCTCTTCAGCTCAACTGGTGCTTTGCAGTCTGCAGGCCAATGCTCTTCGCGGAGGTCCAAATCCGCCCTTATCCAGATGAGAGACTTTTGTGTACATATTGCTGCAAACAGCTCCGCGTCTGTATATACATTGGCGACTAAAGAGCCCGGAGGTTGAGAGGATTCAGCTGATACATTTAGGCTCAAACAATAAGCTAAGCTAACAAACAGTACGAGTAGATGCATGCCCTTGTGTATGCAGTCGGAGGGCGCGGCCGGTATAAAGGTTTGGGTGGAAGAGTCTTGCTTGTGAACAAATTGTGCTGGGAGCTCATTGTCCTTGCTGAGGAGCTGAGGATTACTTCTGAAAACATAAAACCCGATTTTTTGAGCTGAGGTTCATTTGAGGTCCATTCAGGAGTGCCATTTACTAAAAGGCCCGTACAGTCGTGAATCGGTTAGAAAAGTAACGCTTCCCCACAGGGACCCCGAACACCAGTGAACATAGACCGCCTGCCAAATCGGCGATCGCGAGTCCACACCATAATGTCCAGCTTCAGACAAAGGTGCACGCGCATCTACGCATGGATTGGATGCGTAAATGCAGCTTGATCCGCAGCGGCTCCTACGGATGCAATGCCACCTGGGTGTGTTGCATGTGTCCTAAAAAGGTAACATACCGTAGTGCTACTTATAGTTCGTGATCGCTTTGTTCGGGGAGGGGTCAAAAATCTTTCTGAAATTTGTACGTGCTCTTTGAATTTCGGGGAAGGCCGGACTAGATTTTGCGGGCATGATACAAATTTCGGGGCCCCTTCCAAAGTTTCGGCGCTTTTCAAACTGCAGCTTCCAGTCAGTCTCCCTCCACCGGGAACCCTTAGGCGCATGGTCTCTCACCATTTTCGCACTTTGGAAACGCCCTAGCAAATTCTGGACCGATCGTACAGTTCAGTACCAGTGGCAACGACCTAATAACCAACTATATTTTATGTATTTAAGAGCTGATTTCCGCCTTGAAATCCTAGTTTTTGCGAAGTTTGATCGACCGGCTTCGGAGGGTACGATATTTCGGGGCTGCGATACCTTGGGATACCTTAGAATTTGTACGTGCTACATATTCGTGGTGCCTCCCGAATTATTGTAGCACTACGGTACATTTTTCAAACACGCACCAGAGTCGGGCTGTCGTACTGAGTTATTTACGGTGTGAGTTACACTGTTATTGTGGGTATGGTCACAACATGGTTGTGCGCTGTCGTTTCCGCACCGAGGCAGGTTGTAGATAAGGAAGCAGAGGATGTAACTTGCATGCCAAGGACAGATTCGACAGATGAAAAAGGAGGTAATACAAAGGTTCTAGCACATAGCAGTGTGCGCCTTGCATCGACAAGCTCACAACGATTGGCTTTGAAAGTTTTACAATTTTTTGAATTAAAATGTGGTAAGCAGTCAATCAACAACACACAATAAATACACACTCAAAAGTGGAATTTGTCCTAGGACAGCCACTCTCCGGAAGCATCATGTGCGGTTCGGCCGCCAAGCAAAGCCATCCGATGGGTTTCCATATCGAAGAGAAGTTTCCAGATGCTACTTAGAGAAACACACATGAGAGCACACACGCACTCTACCTATTACTCGATCCGCAACTGTTGACCATTCCACATCACCATGATGACGTTCTTACCTTGTTAATATCGCTTGATCACTGTATTCTCATCCCAGTTAATTACATCCGGAACATCGCACAATACGTCAGCTTTCGCGTCTGGGTTTGAAACTCGGAATAACCTTGGAACAAGCGTCGGCGCATGAGCCTGTGTATGGTGAGGCTTGTGGGGCCGAGTGTATGGCTGTGGTCATATGCGAATTATAGCAACAGATCGCAAGCATGCACGCATGTAGAGCTAAAGCCTACGCTACGTCTACGGACCAACACTCAGACAAGGTACACTGCTGTCTACAAACTAGGCTGGCGCAGCCGCCGCGAAATGTTGTTGTTCCTTTCGCGGACTCGCGCAGGATGGAGGACGATATGGGCGCAGTCATCACACACGGGGTCAGGGTGCCAAACAGGGCCCACACGAACAACAATGAGGCAACCGTCAGTACATGCCGCACTCCCCACAAGGGGAGACCTGGCAGGTCGCGGCTGTTCCCCATCATTCAGAAGAAATCACTCGTGCACCCAGTGGCACCAGTAGCAGGCAACCAATCACATCTCGAGAGCTCGGTCCACCGGGCTATACCCTGACTCGAACCGGAGGCCCCAAAACAGCCACAAAATGTTCACCGGTCAGTCATCTCCTCCCAGCTATTTTGGGTAGGACATTCGGCAGTTTACAAAGATATAACGACTTGATTAACCTGGCATGCTGGCGCGGATAAAAAATGCCCCACGGCCGCAACTACGGTTGTCCCCTGATCTACATTCCCAGAACATGTTGTATTTCCCGCATGTCATACACCTATAACCTGCTCAGTTTTTAAATTAATGGACCAAAGCCGCATTGCGGATCACTGACCCGGGCAGCCTTGGTGCCCTGCGGGGTGTAGCGGGGCCCCAAAGCGCTATAGCGTGTAGCGGCCTCTAGAGAGAAAAGCACATGTACAGGGAAGAGGGATTATGCACTATGAAGGACAGTGTGTGCAGCCTGTGTGCTTTGCGGCAGCGCCATTTCCGCGTAGTCATAGTCATCAATTCCGGGGGCCGCGCCTAGCCGATGTGTTGGACCCAACGCGGTGGGCGGCTGCGGGCGGAATCCGCAAACATGACATGACAACCAAAATCAATGCCATTGCCCCCATCATTACGGTCTGTTAGCGAAGACCCCTACACGCACAAATCAATCTTAAACCAGATATCTGTCAACAGAGCACAAACCGAACATGGTGGAATCCATGCCACGGCAGTCTGCCTGCAAAGGACACCTGCATCCCTCTGCCCCACACCATCAACCGCCACATCGCCTACCAACCTACGCTAACCTAATCCTGCTGCTGCAAATCTCCTGCCTGCTGACCCTGCGCCTACCATTGAGCAAGCAATGGCACAAGCAGTTGATTTAGACGACCTCTCATTGAGACGAGAAATAGGCAATCGTCAAAAGGGCCATTGTCAAATGGGCAGGACGGACTCCCAGATGGAGATATCATCGCTAATGGGAAATCGGGTCCTACAGCCATCACCGCTATTCAATTGCACGAATTAGATTAGAGCGATAAGACAACACTCGGCCCGGAAAGAAAATAGTCCGCTGTGCCTAGTCGATTGATAAAACGGACACAAAAGGGGCCAGGAGGGCCGACACTTATCTGGGCAGCAGCGCATGGACTGGACCATCCGCATCCCCATCTAAATTGTTTGCCCGACAGGCTAGTCATAAGGATACCTGACCCGTCACCCCTGACAGGCAAAACGACACCACGAGCAAGTGACAACCCAGCAATAAAAAAAGGTTACGTCGAGTATTGTCACATGTATTAATTGAAGTACACGTGATAGTCTTGAACAGTCGTACGGGTACATACACTTTCATTCCCCACCCTCACATCCCAATGTTCAAGTAACAAATCCAAACATCCGGACATACGTACATTCATGCATACTGCAGTCCCAACAAATCAATACACATGCGAGAGGCGCAAGCAGCCAGAGGACTATGACATCATCAGGTGCTGCCGCCGCTCCCTGCAGCACAACTATCCGTACAGCCTCCTGCTGCCTCTGCGCTTTCCAGGTGACAGACCGACATACTCAACTGCATCCCCGCAACGGCACCACCTCCACCTCTTCACCACGTTTCCAACACCGGATCCTCCTGCTTCCCCCCTTCTCCCCCTGCCTGACGCGGCAGCTGCACTCCACTCAGGCGGGAGTTCCATCATTCATCCAGCGTTTTGACATTGCGCCGACCGACAACATGTGCGATACGGGATATTCAGGGACAGAGCCGACATACATACATCCATACAATCACCCGCGCAAGCCTCCTCTCCGCACATGGCAGCAACCTGCACGCCAGACAGTCGAGGGCCAAGTTCTTCTAGTGGCGCAATGTACGGCACCCACGACCACTCGCAGCAACCGCCGGCAATAATATCCATACAGACGGACTGTAGTGAAGCCAACATGTGCATAAGCCAACGGCCAAAGGAATCAATCGAGATACCGCACCGCACCAGCAAAACCCACCCCGACCCGGCCTCTACAATGTTCCACCCAACCGCACCCCTGCAACACCTCCGCACATGAGCCATGCGAACGTGAAAACTAAGAAGTGCCAGACAAACAGACAGACAGGCACACTGCGTACGGCTGCATCCCAACTGGGCACCGTTTGGAACATGCGGATAAGGGCCCACACCAAACTGGCTCGACTCCGTAAAAAACACGGGCGGGCCACAAGGCGGGCCGGTGACTGGGCGGAAGGCATTCCAGTGCCTGTGAAACACAGATGGAAACGGACATGAGATGAGCAGTGCTCAGACCTTCCCCCTCCACTTCTCACATTCCCTCGAAGATCCTGCTCTACAATCCTGCTCTTATCATACTGCCTGTTGTGATGTACAGCAACACTACAAAGACACTCAAAACTTCAGAACCGACCCCAGTCAGGCCCCCGGGACAGCACAGGGGCTACACTGTCAAGTTTAAAACGTCAAGAGCCAAGCTCTTGACAGCATACCGACCCACACATCTGGCCGCTTGCTGACCCCACAGAACCCCATTACCCCCAGCTACGGGGGTATTCGCCCCAAACACACCGTCGACATACACACTAACACACACGAATGGGCGCGCTCCCCCCGCAAAACAGATACGGCAACAAGACCAGAGCACTGAACACTCATAACATTATAATAATTGTGCACACAACATATTGTTGTTCCATGTCCTGTTTTTAAGCAAAACACGAGTGGCTGCTGCCGCTGAACTGGCAAAGCTGCTGTTGCCATCCCATGCGCACATCACATCACACCACTTCGTGGTGCCGTACCACATCCCCTGTAGTCCCCCAGAAGTCTCACGACCATGCGCGGCCACGAACCATGCGCAGCCTGTGTCCACCCGCCGCCCGCGGCGGGGTGGCTGCATCCGGGGCATTTGCAATTACCCTTCTGCAGGAAACCGAACACCCTGCTGTTGCTGCTATATTCGTTCTCAACGCTGCATCAACACGAAAACGCATCATCATCAACGCGCCCCGCGCTGCACCACCGCCGCCGCCTCGGCTGCGACTTGCTGCTGCTTGCAAATGCCGACGACGGCGTCATTACCGAACCGCCGCACAGTACAGTACAGTACATGTCGCGCGTCCCCACGCGGCATATCGCCAGCATATGAGCGTACGTGTGAGCGCAAAAGACAGAGGGACATCCTCCTTACGGCTCGTTGCTTACTCGAGCGGTTTATGGGCCTCTCAGCCATGTGCCGCGACGGGCGCGAGCCACTACCCCCTACTCAGAGGGCGAAAAGGGATGCCGACAGCTGCAAAGGGTAGAGGCTCCACTGCGGTAGCTACTTCAATAACCAATGGCAAAGCCTTTTGGCAGCTTTTGCATGGTGGTATTCAGGTAATGCATGGTGTGGCCACCTCCATTCACGTTGCCGTGGCCCTGGTGGCCCTGGTGGCTGACGTGAGGATGGCTCCCCGAGGGTTTGCGACCCAGGGCGTTGTAGCTCGGTGCCGTACTAGGAACCGACGACTTAAGTGCGCCGATAAGGTTGTTAATTATCTGCAGGGCGGAGGACGAGGAGGACGAGGAGGGGGCCATAGTGTGGACAGGTGACGGGAAGTGTTATTGCAAGGAATCCAAACAAACAAGTTGCGTGCGCAGCTGATACAGCTGATAGCCTCAGTAGTCTCAATGCTAATCTCTTACGCAGATTGCGTTAAGCTCATGGCACCAAGGCAACGAATCCGTTCAGTAGTCACCTACCCACCTCCAGGTCACGCAGCAGCTTCTCGTCAATCAGCCCCTCCTCGCGTTTCTGGTTGAGCTGCTGTATCAATGCGGTGATATCCAGCTCCGAAGCCGTACCGGAGGCCAAGGCCGCAGCCGCAGCCACAGCGGAGCCGGCAGACGCGCTTCCCGCACTCGTTGACCGACCGCTGGGCGCCGGCGACACCCGGGCGTCGCCACCCACATTCACGCCAGCGCGCGGCGGCGCCGCCGGTGCCGGTGCCGGCGACGGCTCATTGGACCCCTCCGCCGACACGGGGGACACCTTGCTTGAAGATGGCGTGCTGTTAGCTGCACCGAGATGGGCCGCCTCCGTGCCGCCCACACTACTGGTGTTACTGACGGCCCGGCCACCGCCGCTGCTGCCCGCCTCACAAACTGAACTAGCATTGGACGAGCTAGGTGAGCGGCACTCGGCATTCACAGCCATATTGTGCTTCGATGAGCCGGCTGCGTTAGAATCGGGCATTGACGATGCAGGCTGCGCTGCGGGGTACTTGGTGGCGGCGGGTGCGCTGCTACTCCCGGCACCGGCGCTGGCGACGGCTGCGTTAACGCTGCCTCCCGCTGCAACGGCCGCAGAGTTATTGCTTCCTGCATTGGCTGACACTTCGGGAGATGAGGAGGCGCCGCCGCTGGCGGCGCTGGCGCTACAGGCGCTGACACACGCCGGGCGAGCGGGGCTCTCCCCGTCTTCGCTTTGGTCGCCATCATCCGTATCGTAGCCACCTGACGGAATGTCACAGCCGCTGGCTGCCCCTTCATCGCCCTCGGCTCCGTTCTCACCCATAGTTCGAGCCACCAGCAGCTTGCCCGCCTCCAACAAGCCGCGAATAGCACGTTCCTTGGCACGCCGCAAAGTTCTCCGCTGACGGGCGTTCAAACGAACCTGGCCGTCCGCGCCAGTGCCAACTGCAGCACCAGCTGCAGAACCGGCGACAGCATTATTGCTGTTGTTGTTCCGACGCTGCCGCGGACCCACCAGGCCGCCGCCCATTCCAAGCCCGTGCATGTGGATGCCGGTTTGGAGGTGGTGATGAGTGGGGTGATGTGCGGCCAGGGCACCGGATAAATACGCGGTGGGGTTCATCAGCAACCCCGCGCCGGATGACAAGCCGGCGGCGCTGGCGGCGACCGAGGCCATCACACCAGGATGCTGTTGCTGCTGCTGCATATCAGCCACGGCTGCAGCAGCCGCTGCTGCGCGGAGATTTTGTGAGGCAATGATGGCTCCATGAAGGGATTGGAGGCCTTGGAGCTGAACTTGGAGGTTCTCCGCAGCAGCCACAGCCATGTAGTCGTTGTCCAGGGACGGTGTCGCCACGTAGCAAGGCATTGCCGTTGGCATGGCCGACATGGCGGTGGGGACGTTGGCAGCTGCCGCCAGTTGTTGAAGCATGGCAGCGTGTAGGAGCTGCGAGGGCTGCTGCATGGCTGCAGCCGCTTGAGGCTGCGTCACGTGTTGTTGGGCCGCAGCCGCCATTGCGGCAACCTGGTGGTGGCTGTGCGGGTGAGACAAATGGTGGGCAATGCCGCTGCCAATCATGTGGGGAGCAGCACCAAACAGGCGCGGCATGGCAGCAGCAGGCCACATGTGCTGATTCCCAATACCAGCCGCCGCCGCGGCGGATGCATCATAAAAGCCCCACGCTGCCGACGCCGCACTGGCAGCCGCAGCCGCGTGGCTGCCCATATGATGCGCCATGCCGTGCGCAACGAAATTGCCATACGGTGGAAGATCGACGTCCCCGCTGGACAGTCCTACACCGTCGGTATCCAAGCCCCCGGAGGACAGCGTAGCCCCGGAATCGTCGTGAAGGGTCATGTGGGCCTGATGATGTACTGCGGCAGCGTTGGCACTCAGGGCATTGGCCGCGGCTGCGGCAGCAGCAGCACCCGGGAGAACAACACCAGAGCTAGAGGTCCGCCCGGATGCCGCCGCCGGGCCCAGAGTGCCCGATAAGGAGCTCCTGGGCGGAGGGGTTACCGAGGGTCCCGTGTACGACGTCCGCGGCGTGGGTCCCGAAGATATGTTGTTGACAGCCGCGGCGGCAGCGGCGGCGACAACTGCGGCTGCGGCAGCTGCAGTGGTTGGGTCCAATGCCTCGCGAGGGGTGGCGTTGGTTGAAGCATTAATGGCTGCTGGCCGTGCTGCAGATGAGCCGTACGACGCCATTGACGGGTCCGGTGAGAGTGACGCAGGCTGGTGCGGTAGTGGAGAAGCTTCAGGGCCATCCGCGGCACTTCGGACATAGGACGGGCCAGCGGCGCCAGAGACACTGCTCGGGTGTTGGTACGCGCCGTGAGCTGGAGTCTGGTAGCCCTGCTGGGCGTTCAACTGTCTACCGGGTACCCGCGCTCCGGAGGATGCCGAAGGTGGCTGAGGAGACACAGAAACGTCGCTGCTGTTACCGCCGGATCCTGCAGCTGCTGCTGCGGGGTTGGTGCCTGTGTTTCGGCCCACAAGAGCCGTCATTGGGGGGAAGGCACCCACGCCACTTGGTGGGCCTCCGTTGCCCGATGATTTGCGCGGCCCAGGCTTAAGAGGTGACGGCTGATAGGGACGGCCCTTGTCTCCCGCAGTGCTGCTGCGCGGCTGCTTCGCGCACTGCTGCGGCGGCGCCATGGGCATTGCCAAGGGAGGAGCTCCGGATGCGAAGCCGTGCGGCGGAGGGCCTGGCATACCTGGAGGAGGTCCGAACGCATTAAAGCCGTTGAAGAGGGGGTGGAAGAAAGCCGACGAGCCATCGGGGCCCTGCGGTCCGCCGGGGACCTGAGGCGCCCCGGAGATTGAGGTCGGCCGCATCGACGGAGCGCTAGGGCCTTGCGGTGGTGGGGGTGCAAAGGGCCCGGCTGAGGGGTGCTGCGCGAAGGGCGTCTGGGGGAACATCATAGCTGTGTGGAGGGTAGAGGGGGAGGAGAGGCGGAGAGCGAAGAGCAAATCCTTGAATGCGGTTTAGATGTGTGTTTGTAGTTTAGGTGCGGACAAGTGCTGAACGGAACTTACATCAGCATCGACAGAGAGTTATCGTTTTGCAGGGGCTCACGCATGCACGGAACTACGTGTATACGGGGCTACAGCAGATGACGCTCATTAATGACCTTCCCGCCTGTCCGACACCCTCAGACTCACCTGTTGGCGTGCTGACTGGGCTTCCCATGAGCGGGGTCAGCCCACCCCTCGGACTGTCTGGTGCCCCGGAAAGCATCACAGGGAACATTACGTAGCCGGGTGCAGGCGTATATGCCATCGCCACTGGCACGTGCACTGGCGACGATGGGCAGCGAGGACTGTCGGCGCCAGAAAAGGAGTTGTATAGTCTCTACAGGAAAGGTGGGAAAAAGGCACCTAAAACACCCAAGCCGGAAACGGTAACCTCAGTGCAATTGAGGAAAACTGCAGCAGCCAAAGCAACAGCATTAAAACGCTGCAATGAACTATGAGCGCGACATCCCCCTTGTATTGTAAAGACAAGTACCGTATGCCCCACTCAAATAAGGAAGAGGTGTCAGCCCGACTCTGGGAAAGTCATAGGCGGAGACGCGACAAATCAGGCCATCGCACGCTGATGATAAAATAGGATATTTTGTATAGCCTCGGGCGCCTATGTTGCTCAAAACGGGAGACCAGCCGAACCGGCGAGAACAAAGCTGTCGGTTCTTGGTCACGCGAGTTGCAGCACTGCAGGCGCCTGAGGCACATTTAAACATGTGCATCAAACGCAGCATGTACTTACCGGACTTTCAGGGTAGATGTGAAGTGGTGTTCCAGTGTAGGAGTTCCTCCAAAACCAGCTAGCTGCGCCACCGTGGCTACCTGTGTGCGAGCGCACATAAAACGCCAGACAGCGTGGGAAACAACCTGATTAATTGTCAGAGCGAAACACGATCCCAACAGGTGAGGCCGAACAGCTGAAGCGGCGGGAAATAAGCTACGAAGGAAAACTGAAGAGCCAGGATTGGCTAAAACGGAACCTAACTGGTGAAACGTTCTAAAAGAAGTCGCACCAGTGAAACAGAAGGGCTACAAGCAAAGTCACAGCACCAAGCTAGAATTAGCAATTAGACAACATTGCTGCGTCTCCCACGCAGCTGCCACATAACCGTTGCCCAAAGTGTAATATGCTATAAGAAGTAGACAACTGATATCACTGATGAGTGCAAGGAACCTGCGCGGTCATACAGCCTGAGATAATTGGTTTGCGCGCGCTTACCTAGGTTGCTGTGATTGGTTGCATCGCCCTGTAATTTTCTTGGGCTCCTTGCGTCTTCTTTACAAATACGGACTTTAAGTTGTATGAAGGCCTGTTTATATTGGACAAAAACCGAATGGGCCGACCCGCCTTTTTTCAAGTGCCCCCGAGTGCACGGACACCCGCGAAATGCGCCGTGCCCCAAACCCGGACATAAGACTCGGATTATAAAATGGACTCTGCCTTCTTAATGGACAATATAAAATAAACTTTCGAACGGAAAGCTTCGAGCCAAATCACCTCCAGTTGAAAAAGAAAGTTCACAGGCATTGACGATGGACCGAGCTGCAGTGATCAACATAGATGTTCATGTTCAAGCGTCCTACCTCATGGGAACGACCGCTGCGAGTCTCCGGACCGGCACTGCTAGTGACGTCTGCCTCACCCTCCATTCCCGCAGTGATTCTAATGGCACAACGAAGAGATGCTTGGAACTGATGGCCGATGCTGCGATAACCGAGGCAAAGAAAGGGAGTCTACGGGACACTACTGTATTCGGTTTCTTCCATTTCCAACGAGATTTTGCAAATGCGAATTCAGAATGTAGTGCTGTAATCTACTCTTTGGCAGGGACATCTTTAAGCAATCTGATGGTACCGAAGATGAAGTTAGGAAAGCGCACTTGAAGCCGATTCTCAATACCGCCGTTCTCCATGGTTTACCGTCATCCGCCTAAACGACACACTTACCAGGGAATTAGACGGCCATAAGCTATGGCATAGCCATATGATAACGAGGCTTATAACATACACTGCACCTTGCAATATGGGGGCAAGTTTGCGTCGATAAAAGCCTGACGTTTTCTATGCCAAATATGCAAATACACGACTGCACCCTAGGCGATTGAGGTGGCTCGCGCCTAGCCCCGAAAGCTCCCATCGCGGCCTTTACATGGATGGCCGGCCGCTGCGGTTGCTTCCAGTGCATAAAGATACGTTGGGTGGTGTCAATTACTGGGGAACATGTATGCCTTAACTTCAGTTCCCTGGCGCCAGCGTTCTCGTGAGTAGCTGGGGCGGTGTCCCTTAGGGCGTATCCCTTGGTGGCTTTGCTTCCTGCCCTCTTCTCCCTATTACCCCACCATCAAAGGTGCTGGTGGGAACTGAGGCGTCAACGAATAGCGCACGTTGACCCACAATTGGAGAGTAGGCTTCGATAACGGTAGCTACAGGAGACCAGGTCTTCCCTGGTGCCTAAACTGCATCATCGAAGGTGCTGACCCACACAGTCGCAGTTTTCGGGCAGCATCTATCTACCGTCCGCGTCTCACGTGTCGCACTGCACTTTGGACGCGTCGGTCCAGTTGCAGCAGCCCGTTAAGACTGTATACTAGGCTGAGCCTTCCTGGGAATAGCTGTCGAGGTCAAGGTCAAGGACAAGGTAGCAAAAGCAAGGACGGAGATGCGTCTCATCCTCGGCCGCGGGGCGGGGCGGGTTGGGGAAAGGAAGGGAACCGGGCCCCCTCCGCCGCCGGCTACTTATCTGCAGGTCCAAGGATGTGCCTGGCAAGGTTCAGGTCCAGGGATGGAGGGGGACCCTATTGCGCACCTCGCCCCGGTCACTAATGGATGGTTACCGGGCCCATCTTTGTGATGTCGTACGCAGGTGTATGGCATGGACCCGCTTTGTGTTTGCCAGTGGACGAAGGCGCGAAACGGTAGTGTGTGACCAATTGCAGGGTATTCACGGCATGGTGTTGCTAATACGAGCGCCATAGGGCCCCACCGCGTCAACGGGAAAGCCTCTGGCCTCATATCCTTGAGGAGGTTAAGTCCCTCATTCAAAGCTCAACTTCCTGTAAACCGCTTGCCCCATAACCCTATGCCTAGATCGCACGTGAGCCACATCCAGCCATGAAATGGGAACCCGCACGTCTGTTGAGGATGTTGGAACGTATGTGGGCTCACCGAAATTCAATTACCCCCTTTGGACGCTAGTCTGGGCTGATGTGCGGTGCTTTCCTTTCCTCCGTGGCTTTTAGGCGTTGTAGTATTGGCCTTGGGCCTTCGGCTCGTATGGGTAGTCTTACAGGTATGGGGTCACGCACCCCCAACCATGTAACACACACACACACACATCCAGCCAGTGCTATCATAGCCTGCAATGGTGGTGGCAGCCCCATCTCCTTGTGGTGGCGGAACCCCCAACTCGCAGCATTTAAACGTCAGCCCAGCTCTGGGACCCAAATCAACATTGCGGGCATTGAGATCAGGGGCCCAGAGAGCGCCAACAAGGTAAAGGCCAGCAACGTGACACACCTCCAAGTGTGGAGGTGATCAGCTCCTTCTACTGGTTTGTTTCTCCGGAATACATCTGTACGGGCGCTGTACAAATCCCCAGGTCCAGTGAATCTCCGGTAATGAGATTCCTCTCGAGGCCTGGGTGGCCGCGGGTGGAGCTAGCTCGGCGTGCGGACTCCCGCATGCCGCCACCCACGTGTGACATATGCTAGGTACGTATCTTTCGTGCCCTTGCACCCACCCATCCAGATGTCACGCGGTGTGGGTGAACGTCCCCAACTACAGCGGTTGAGCCATTCCATCAGCGATTTGCCGTGATGGTACATAATTGATGATCAGGTGTTCCCGGACTCCTCCACACCTGAATCTTCCAATGTACATATGTCAAGTTTGACAGCCGAGAGATTACCTTATGAGGTATGTGAAACATGTTAGGTGACATCAAGTTCCCGGCACTCATAAGTTCCCGGCAAGCGGTTATCCTGAACGTTGTGTCAGAGCGCTATGGTCGGTTTCTAACTGAAAACGTGTTGCGCAATAACATTATAATCCGCAAGAAGATTCCATACGATACATATCCATATTTATTAATACATGGATAAGTACTGAGGTATTACAACCTATTGCTTGGTTGTACAGGTGAAGGACCTGCAATTCCTTCGTTTTCGCGCCGGCTGAGTTGAGGGCGCGATGCATCTGTGCTCAAGCCCCAAATAATTATATAGGGCAAGCAGAATCATATGGCCAAGACGGCAAGTTGCGCTAGCAGTTGCGTTTCGATACGGGAAGGTAGAGGGTGAGGGTGAGGGCTGTCTGAAAACCGAGTTTTGCGACCAAGTTTTCAAACTGTTTCCTTCCCTAAATACAGAGTGAAAGGTTCCATACCGCTTTCCCTTAGACGACATCGAGTCGCGCCATCATTGAGGATACGAAACGGCACAGCCTTTGCGAAGTTACTCGAGTGCTGACGCCGGGATTCGATTGGCCCTGCGCAAGCGCCAGTGCGGCTACCCGAACGTGGCCAGCATCGAAAAACACAACAACAAACCAATTTTCATCGTACCAGGTGCTATGAAAGTTTGTTATCTAGCAACTTCAGCTCCAGCCCCTTGCCCGTAGCCCTTCCTAGCCTAAACCTGCCGCGCCGTCGGTCCCCTGCTACAGCGCGCCCACGAAACTGCGAACGACCTTTTTCTGGCCCTGTGTCGTCATCAACAACTTTAACGCAAATTAAGGTTAATCAGTTTTATTTAATGCTACAGTGAATAGTAAAGAAAAGGAAAAGCTGTATCCATGAGGCACCGCTACGCTGGAGGACGAGGAAGAGAAGTGTCCGCAGCAGCGCCGCAGGTCCCCGCACGCCGATGTCCAAGTCAACCATCCAAGTCCTTTCCTCTCGTGGATGAACTTCCCTTATTAAGGAAACTTCCACATTAACTGACTTGGGCCGGCGGTGAACCCAGGAGGACAACGTCACGGGCAACAAGACCAACCCCGCTAACGCCCTCCACGTTTTTCATTTGGCAAGCGCACATAACTTGCACCATACTGACATCCTTTACGATTCTTTTGCAACAAGATACAGTTAAGCGCGTTAGCGGCAGTTTTCCATTGTCTACTTACTGGACCAGAACGGACTGCGCGATCCAGAGAGCTCATGGCACCACCGCCGCGGTGGTTGAGTCCGTTGGGTCGCTGGATGGAAGATGATAGTGACAACTTCTTCACCGCGTGGAGAGACGATCGAGGAAGGCGCGGAAGGCGCGTGCACACACATACCTGACGAAGCGGCGTCGCATTACGCGGGAAAGCACCCTTAGCCATACAACCCGAGACCACCTTTGCTAATACGATTCCGTGGCACGAATAAAACAACTCCCCGCCCCCACTAGGGCCGTATTGAGTGGGGTGGTCGACCTAGCAGCTGCCGCCATTACCTCATTCCACTCGACAACTGAAGGGTCAGGAAAGGAAGAGCTCAACCTAGGAGAAAGGGGGACGAGCCAACGTCCCTAGACGAGAATCACCCAAGGATAAATTCTCGGCCCATCCCCATCCCCACCACCACCACCACCACCACCACCAGGTGGGCGGCGAAGAACGAAAACGGGAAGCACAACGAGAAGAGGGAGGGGCAAGCAGCAAGCTGTAACCTCTTGAGCACTGGCCAACCAAGGCCAACAGCTGCGGCGAGGAATGCCAAATAAAGTGGGAACGAAGGAAACGGGGCGGAAGACGATCGCCAAATGCGGAAAGAGAAAGACGTGTGAGGCAACGGCGTCAGCTCTACGTGTGCTCCAGGCGAGGAGACTCATCATGAGGTATAAGTGCTTCGAAGTCCTTAAGAGTTCTCCTTTACTCAACAGCCGGTGCGCACAGAACGACGTGCGGTATCCAGATATCCAGATGGCAGATCTCACTGGTGGTAATTCTCTCTGGGCTGGGACACCTTTCAGCCGACTGACTGCTCGGAGGTGGAGTTGTCACCGAAACCGGAAATGCGCGCCATGAAACGCACCACTCGAGGCTTACACATATGTGGTAGAGCCAAGAAGCGCGCTTCCCTGGGAAAGCGGAAAGCAGCTTTCGCCCTTCGAGAGCATCCTAATTCGTATTCCCCTGACTTGAGGCACCGACCTTCCTGGTTCTCTGGTTCTCTAGTCCTCTGTGTACGGAATGATACACGGAGCTCATACCCACCTCTGTGGTGTTTGACCGACATCACATAAACGCACTCACACGTACATATGCACGCATACATACATACACACATACGCGCGCATACACACCCTGCCGTCGTGCGGTGGCATGCGGCATCTTTCACTCTGTGGTCTTGTGAAAGCACCAGCAGACAAATGGCTGTCAAGGCCTTTCCCCCCCACGATACACACGCATACACACATACAGCTGAAAAGGACACGGAAAAGCTCACGCGGAGGACCCCCTTCGCATCACAACACAAGAAGAGCTGCATACGTCCGGGCACATCCGGGCAGGCAGCAGCACATCCACCCAACGACATCTCCTCCCCTTCGAACCCCTTTGCAGCAACGTTTCCTCCTGCGCCGTTATCGCTCCTGCTGTCCTTCCCCAGGCAGCCTGCGGCCGTCCAGCGCCGCCCCATGGCGCGGCTCTCCCTCCTCCTCCCCTTCCCCGGGCTCTGTTCCTCCCCTTCCTTCCCCACCCTCTCCCCCTCCTCCGCCTCCTCCGCCTCCACCCCTTCCTGCAGATGCAGTGATCCGCGGCGGCGCCGTCGTCTCCCGGGTGTTGTGGCCGCGGATGTACCAGTCCGGCCAGCAGTCCCCCCAGGTCAGCCCCCGAGCCAGGCGGTAGGCGGGGGCGCCCATCCAGCCGCGGCGAGATGACTTGGCCACCACCTGATGACGAGAATGATGAGAATGAGTGGTTGTGCCCCAGTAGGGGGTTAACATTTGTTAGGGGTTACATGGAGGAGTCCCGCAGGAGGGGGGGAGGAAAGGGGCCAACAGCAGCAGTAGTACGATGGAGGAGAGGGAAGGACAGGGGACTGCGCCGTCCTCATCAGACAGCGATGTGAAGTGAAGTGGAGCCAAGATGGGAGTGGGCTGCGCGGGGTGACGGGATGACGGGATGAGGGACTGACTGTCCGCGAGGGCCGTAGTGCCGTACGTAAGGGGGCCGCCTGGTACTGCCCACACCCCCCAGCCCCCCACCCCTGAAGGGTGTACTCCTAATCCCCACCACCCCTAACGCTGCCACTTGTGCCCCCATCGCCACCCCCACCCCCACCACACCTCCAGTTTGGCTTTGCCATCCAACCACACCTACCTACCTACCTACCCACCCACCTACCTACCTACCTACCTACCTACCTACCTACCTACCTACCTACCTACCTACCTACCTACCTACCTACCTACCTACCTACCTACCTACCTACCTACCTACCTACCTACCTACCTACCTACCTACCTACCCACCTACCTACCTACCTACCTACCTACCCACCTAAATACACACCTGCTGCACCAGTCGCCCCTCAGGCCGCCCTGAGCTCAGTGGCTGACACAGATCCGCCTCCACGGCGACACCGCCATCCACACAGCCTGTCGTACGAACCGCGCCAGCAGCGGAAGCGGCGGCGACAGTAGAGGTGGCCGAGGAGTTGCCGGTAGTGTTAGCTCCTTCCCCCCCCATGTCACCCCCCTCGTCCGGGTAGTGGTGTTGGGGCCCCACACACATGTCCAGAATGGCGTGGCCCCCTCGCAAGCGAGGTGACCGGACCAGGCGCCCCCACACGTACGACGACGCCTCGGCGGCCTGCAGTGCCCCACTCGTGGTGGCGGGGGTGGTGGTGCCCGGGCCCGGCGAGGGGGCAGAACCCTGCATGGGATACGTATGTCCGTGTGGGTGAGCACCCGGCGGGTGGGAGGACAGTGTTGTGTTGTGTTGTGTTGGTGAGAGGGAACAGCACCCACAGCCTGTGCATCGCCAGTAGGTATGGCGGGATGTAAGTGCCCGTGTGCCGGGGGGTGGTGAAAAGCAATGGACACCACAGCAGACAATGGCTACCCTGTAATTCGTTTTCATGTTCAGGGTACCCACCCCAGGTCGGAGGGCCCTTTCTGATCTCTTTTGCCCCCCCCCCCTCCTCCCCCTTCCCCTCGCAGGTCATCGCACTTCAAGAACGCCTTTTGGTCAGTTCTACGTCTGGTACACTCTTGCCCTGGCAGCACCTTCACTCGTTCGTGGTTCGTCTTCCTCCCCCTTCCCCTCCTCTGCCCGGGCCTGGAGGGCCCCGGTAGCTCCCCGGCCCGCCGCCCTGCACCCGCACAAGAGCTCCCCTGACCTCCCCCACGCTCCCCCAGACCAGGAGGAGGTCCTGCGCCCCCACCTCCTCCCCCACCTCCTCCTCCACCTCCTCCTCCACCTCCTCCTCCTGCTGCTGCTGGTGCTGCTGGAGATGATGACCGTCAGCTTGCCGCGCAGTGACGTGCTGTCTGAACTCCTCCTCGACCTCCGCCGCCTCCTCCTCCTCCTCCTCCTCCAGGCCATTGTCCGCACTCACGCTTCCCACGCGAGTCGCACTGGCCCCTGTTGGCCCGGGGCTCCCGGGGCCGGTGCTGTCGGCACGGTCGCGTCGGTTAGCGGCAGTTGGCCACACCCGCGCCGCCGCGGATCCGTAGATGCGATCCACGAGCTGCAGCTCCACCCTGTCGTACTCCTCGCTGCTAACATCAGCACGGGTCAGCCGCTGTTGCTGCTGGCTGCCGTACGAGGGGAACGCCGCGGAAGCAGCCGCCCCAGAATGGTGTAGGCACGGAGAAGATAGACTCATATCCAGATCCAGATCCTGTCGGAGGGCTCCTGCTCCTGCTCCGAAACCCCGGTCGGCAGCAGCAGCAGCAGGAGCAACCCGAGTGGAATCCGCGGAGGCTACACCGCCCTGGCGACACCGTTGGCCGATCGCGGGCACTGCATCTCCTCCTCCTCCTCCTCCTCCTCCATCACCACCATTAGCTGCTAACGCTGTTGGGCCCGCTAGGTGCGACATGAACAGTTCTGCCACTGCGGCATCCAGTCCGGGGGCTCTGCGGGAGCTGCTGCCGTCACCACTATCGTCACCACTATCGTCACCACCATCGTCATCCTCTGATTCGATCGTGCCCGCGTCCGCGCCCTCCAGTGCTGCTTCCTCCTCCGCTGCATCGGCGTAGCTTGATTCGTCTCCCTTTCCTCCAAGACTTGCCCATTCGACTCCTGCGTCCTGTACAGAGATGGAGACATACACAGAAGGAAAGAAGAGGTCGATCGGTGCGCTGCACGTACCAACGGTCCGCACTAGGTGGAGGGTCACTCGGGAGGAGCGGCCACCAGTGGGGGTCACGACAAGAGGGTGCATGCGTACGTGAGGGGGACTGGGCGGGGATGAGGGGGGGAGGGGGCCGGAGGGGCTCCCCCTCATCCCTTCCCCCTATTGGCGACACCCCTTCGGACCCCCAGCCCCCCGTCTCCCCCC